CCCCAAAACCCCAAAACCCCAAAACCCCAAAACCCCATTCTTAAGTTTAGAGATTGATGAAACCTAAAGTTTTAGTCATTCAGAGGAGTATCATTAGTGTGATCTACGATGGAGAGATAAGGCAAACTGTATGTGGAAGCTATCTTTTGGATATCTGAAGCAGTTAAGTCACAGTTGTATCTAGAGTTATGTTAGCTTGCGAGAGGGTTGATATACTTACACGTTAAGAGTTCTTAATGAGTCTGATAATTGAGTGTCCTTTATTGCAGAGATGATGTTTTCAATTCTGTTTTTATAAGTTCTCCACTCACTATATCCACTTAGTCCGGTGTACTGCAATGAGATATACTCAAGGTTACACTCTGATGGTATCTTTAGCTTAAGCTTTCCTGAAGTGTCCACTTTAGACCAATACACCACAAGCCTCTCAGCTATGCAGCTTGAGCTTAAGATCTCTTCGAAGTCTCTCTGGCTAGCATCAACATAATAGAAATAAATTTCCTTGGAAACTCTAGGTAAGCAATCCTTAAAGGCAGCTCTGTAATAACTCATCTTCGGCCATCCATCATAAGACAAGTTGAAGAGGAATAGCCTGCAAGAGATTGGGAAGGAGTACATCATGAAGTCTCTTAAAATGCTATCAAAGGAACTTGGGTATTGAATGTCTACTTTCTTAATTGAAGGAAGTCTGATTCTACATTTGGAGATCATTTCCATAAAGTTTCTGTTTTTCTCATCTTTCATGTTCAGATGTAAAATAGTATGCTCGTTGAACTCCATTGAAACTCCAAAGATAGACTTATAGATAAATGAGGCAAGCTTTGATTTAGAAATAGAGTCTTCAGTAGTAATATTACAGACCTCTTCAAGATATTCTAAATAGTTTAGAGAGTTCTTTAAACACATCCCAAATTATTTTTCCTTCAAGCTTACCTCTGTCAAGATCTTCTTTAGCAGCTTGCAGTTCCCTTATTTCATCTTCTTTTTTCTGAACCTGGTTCTCGATCTGCTCGAGCTTGACTAATTTTTCCATTGCTTTTGAAGTATCCTCACTTTTAAGTTCTTCAAGGCTTTCCACTTGGGACTTGTATGCTCTAAACTCCAACTTCTCATCAGAGTGTTGCTTAACCGTTTCTGTCTGCTCCAAATCTTGACTAGCAAGTTCTTTGACCTTGGCTTGCTCAGCTATGAAAACTCCTGACTCCATGTACTTCTTGAACACAAGGTCTTTATATGAAGAGTAAAGACTGCTCTTCATTATGGTCTCTTGAAGTCTAGACTTCCATGTTAGATTATTGTCAGAAAGTGTTGTATTATCAAAATCAACCGAGAGTTGAACAAGATACATACCGATTTATGTCAGAATATATTTCAGGGAAGTCATCTCTCTTTGAGTTTTGAACGCAATCATCTAGCCTCTTCTGAATGGAATTAAGAGTAGCTTTGTGCTCTCCAATAATAGACTCATACTTTGGGATTAGCTTCTTTAAGCTTTGATTTCCGTTAAAAAATTGAACTAACTTAGTCAAGATTGTTTTCAAAGGTTGAAAGGATTGCATAATTTCTTCAGGACTCATATCAATAAAATAACAGCACCCAAAGTGGTACAGCTGTAGATGATATCTGCATAAAGCAGAGTTATGATCTTTACAAAACATTTTTCTCTCGTTTTGACATCCTTCATGCTCTCATTGGTTTCTATATAAAATTTTCTTCACTAGAATTAATTTTATGAAAGGAGATATCGAGCTTGAAATCTGGCAATATTCTATTAAAGCGAAGAACATTTATAAGATAAAGATAGGGTACTTGAATAACTTGGGTGAAGAAGAATCATTCAAAGCTAAAATATAAGATGATTTGGCATCTTCATCTTACCTTTGAGCTTCGAGTTGCTCATTTCTAGATACACTCTCCATTTCAAATCTGCCTTTATATTATTATACTCAGTTAAATAGTAGATTTTATATCGTATTTTCAGCAGTTTATCACCCAAAAGGGGTTTTGGGGTTTTGGGGTTTTGGGG